GGCGCCGAGCCAATAGGTACAGTTTTAAAGAGGACATCAGGCAAGGCCTCAGTGAGAAACATTTGAGCATGGGCCTACAGGAAGAAAGGAGAGGAATCACATGAGGATTCTGTCCACATAACTGAGCAAGTGCAAAGGCCCTGAAGTAGAAGGGTGTCTGGCATACTGAGGATGGGCAAGGAAGCTGACTAGAAGATTTTTTGTTGGGGGAGACAGAGTCTCAAGCTGCCACCCTGGGTAGAATGCTGTGGAGTCATAGCTCATAGCAACCTCAAATTCTTGGGGTCAAAAGATCCTCTTGCTTCAGTTTTTGTTTTCTTTCTATTTTTAGTAGAGATGGAAAATCTCAATTTTGCTTAGGCTGGTGTTGAACTTGTGAGCTCAAGCTATCCACCTGCCTTTGCCTCCCAGGGTGCTAGGATTACAGGAGTGAGCCACTGCGCCTGGCCCTGACTAGAAAATTTTCAAGGTACAGGCAGTCTCCTGTTCAGAATAATTCTGTATGCCTCTAACAGAGTGCTACGCATTCAGTCCATCTTTCTGCCTTCATCTTAAGTCTTTGGCCCACCTGTCTCATACCTTTGGGAAAATCCTGCTCCTGAACCAAGATTTCATTTCGTTCTTCCAAAATCTGCACTAGGGCAGCTTGAAGTTTAGGTGGTAAAATTTCTTCCTCATCAGATACCTTAAGAAAAAGAATTGAGATTTTTGTATGAGCTTTGAGAAAGTCTCAAAACATGCACTAGCTAATTAACCCAACGCTGTATAGGTGAATTTGCATGTATTTTGGCTAAAGAGTCAGTCTGAAGTTTCCTTCTGTGCTAGAATAGAATCTATGATGCTTATGGTGTACATATTTTAACTACATTTTAAAAAATACATACGTACATTATAAAAATTTCTGGTACTTTTCCACCAAATATCTCTCAGCTACAAGTCTTATGCCGTATTACAAAGATCACCCCCAAATAAATGGTGTTTCTAATGTGAGGAGCTAATTGATTTTGGAAAAAACATCCTGGGAAGCGTTCTTGTTCTTTTCACCCTATGTTTCAGTGTGTACAAACCTATGGACAGGTCACCGCGCTCTGAGGCTTTACTAACTCTTCCTCTCCACGTCAACATCCAGAATAAATGACCACTTCCTTTTTGTCCTCACTCTATCTTGTACAAATTTCTGTTATATCATTTCTAAAATTTTATGTGTATGTCTGCTTCCCCCGAGGGCCCAATCTTACGTATCTTTAGATTCTACTAACAGAATATCGAGATATAACCAGTGTTTAATAAATAATTTTAAAATTTGATTAAATTAGAGGTTTATAGGTCAACCTATCTGGAGTTGAAGGGAAAGTTACTTCTTTTGAGAATGACATTTATTGTTTCCTTCTTCCTCCTTTGGAATAAACAGCTATAAATCTCAGCCAACCTGTTCAGGTTAGGCTTGCATGATTGGCCACAAGTGTCAATTCAAATATGTATAAGAACTAAAAGTCCTTCCTGAGTCATTCGTCTCTGAGTACTTTCATATATTGCCTTCCAATTACCTACAGTTCTGCCTTTATCCTAAAATATTATGTAATCAACTTTTTTTGACACTCACCTCCTGTAAGAACTTGTCTGCACAGAGATCAACTATTAGCACCTGTGAAATAAAGAAGGCAGGCAGGTTTAGCCAGAGACATTCCCAGACAAATACATTAGGCAGTGCCACATTAGGAATGGTGTTTTGATTATTTCAGGCAGTCGTAATCCTTTTAAACAAAATTAACTCCAAGTTGTAGCCCATTTGAAAGGTAACCCATTTCCAAGTCATTGCAGAGATCTAATGAAAAACAAAGTTAACTCATCAACACGACAAATAAATTGCCAGTAAAACCATGATAGTGTAAATGAATAACACCAATAAATTAAAAGACTTAAAATATATATCAACCAAATACAACGTATGGACTTTATCTGGAACTTGATTCAAACTAACTATTCAATGTTTATGAAACAACTGGGGATTTGAAGATGAGATTTTGTTGATATTAAGGAACTGTTAATTATTTTATGTATGACAATAACTTCAAAGTTTTGTTTAAAAATCCCTTTAAGGGGGCAATGCCTGTGGCTCAGTGAGTAGGGAGCCAGCCCCATATACTAAGGGTGGTGGGTTCGAACCCAGTCTCAGCCAAACTGCAACAACAACAAAAAATAGCCGGCTGGCGCCTGTGGCTCAAGTGGCTAAGGTGTCAGCCACATACACCTAAGGTGGCAGGTTCGAATCCAGCACGGCCTGCCAAACAACAATGATGGATGCAACCAAAAAATAGCCAGGCATTGTGGCGGGCGCCTGTGGTCCCAGCTACTTGGGAGGAGGAGGCAGGAGACTCGCTTG